CCATTAGCGAGTTAGCCTACTGCTTTAATTCAGCTTCAGAATGAATATATCACACAAATATGCATGGAAGTACGTCATAAGTCGATATTTTAACACAGTACAACCACACAACATCAATGTCAATTTCACGAACTTGTGGCGACACATCCTGTTTTGGTTACCGGATATTTCAAAATAAAAGTCTGATTTAATTCAGTTCATAGACAAAACAATCTTTTGCGTGGGAACGCAAAACAATATTGCGAGGTAACGCAAAAGTATTGCGAGGGAACGCAAAAGTATTGCGAGGGAACGCAAAACAATATTGCGAGGTAACGCAAAAGTATTGCGAGGGAATGTAAAGTTATTGCGAGGGAATGCAAAAGGAAAAAAGAAAAAACCGTATCCCCTCGCGGGCTCAGTAGGACTATTCCGTAGCTCCGTTTTTTATTTGTGCGTGAATCAGGTGTTCAAACAGCAGAAAATCTCTGGTTTAAAAACATCCAGACTGTAGATGGGCATTAAAAGCTGAATATTTTTCAATGAGTAATGAGGAGTCAGCCTGCACAAAACTAGTGGTACAATAAAAATCAGCACGAAGCAGGAAGCTGTGAACAGGAAGCAGCTTTGTTGGATGAACTGAAGGACTTTCAGCAGCCTGGCTCTTCATGAAAATGATCTAAAACTCTGGCTTCCTTCGGAGGATTTCTACTCTTGTTTAAAGGCAGAGGTTTTCCTGACAGGTACTGATCATTCTTCCATCAATCCTCCGAGCCGCTGCAGCCGTCACTGAGCAGGAAGTGAGGTCGGAGCAGGGACAGGATGGGGCTCCGCGGGGCCCCGGCCAGGCAGTACGCCTCGTCCACGCTGACGCCCACGGACCTCAGAGCCTTCAGGGCCCCACAGCAGCGGTCCTTCCCACCGTGTAACGTGACGAGTGTGAAGCAGAGAGGGCTGTGGGACGTCTCCAACTTCTGACGCATCTTTCCCAGCTGAGACGAGAAAGTCTGCAACAACAAAACATCAACCATATTTAATGGTTTCCATGTTCAGCCTGTCAGAGCAAACTCTGAGTGCAATCATCCTGAGTTTAAGGTAAACTAACATCCTGGTTCTGTGGTCCAAACCCAGAATTTATTCTGGTTTTAATAATCTTAAAGAGAAGCTGACAGCAGACCTCTGCTGGTGAGAATGGTTAGATAAATAATCTGACAGATTAACAGGTTTTTATTCATGTTTTTATATCTATAACATCTGGGCAGAGGCAGGTCAGGAAGTAAAATATAGAAACTTTACAAATAAATAAATAAACGTGTAAAAACCTGCCTGCAGTTTAATAGTTTTACTGAAGCCTTCTGAAATCTAAATGATTTATAATTATTGTACCTGAGCAGCTTCTCTGCTGGATGATGTTGGACCAGAACCGGGCCGGATGATAGAGTTCTCACAGAACAAAACTCTGAGCTGTTCTGATGGACAGGAAGCTGAGTTCTCATCCAGCAGCAGCGACAGAACACCTGGAACCAGAACAAAAAAAGACAATCCTAAACCAGAACCTGTTCACATCAGGTTCAACCAACACCAGAACCTGTTCACATCATGTTCAACCAACATCAGAACCTGTCCACATCTGGTTCAACCAACATCAGAACCTGTTCACATCAGGTTCAACCAACATCAGAACCTGTTCACATCAGGTTCAACCAACATCAGAACCTGTTCACATCAGGTTCAACC